CCCGTCCAACGCGGCGCGCCCGCCCCGCCCCGGGCTCTTTTGGGAATCGAGAGCGGGCGGCTCCGGGGCCGCGCCGGGTCTCCCACTTCGTTCGGAGGCCCCCATTTCCTTGCTAGGGGTTTCGAGTGCCCGTACAAGCGTGCAAAGGGAAGGAGGGGGCCTGGAGGGGGAGATTCAGGCTAATCACAAAGTAGGATCTTGCACAAAAAGCAGTCTAGGATGTTGATGATGACGACGACGCAATCTATCCCTGTGGGAGCCCCTAACCCATTTTATTAGAAGAAGTTTTCCTGAGCTTATCCTTTTTTAATAAAACCACGAAAGTGAATTTAATAAAATCAGGCAAGCTTGGCCTTTAATGAGATGGGTTCGTCGGAAAAGGGTCTAGCCAGCCCCTTGCCGTTTTCGCCCTTACAGCCTCAGGCGGCTCTCCTCCTGCCCGCTTAGCGCCTTGATTAGGAGACACGTGAAAACTTCTCCTTGGGAAGTTGATTCCTGGCATTCTCGTCCCCTCCCCACCGTCACGAATTCTGATTTTCTATCGCTGCTTCTCTGGGCTGTTCGTTTATCCGATTTTATTTAAAAGCTTTGGGCACCGCGTCTGCTTTGGGCACCGCCTCCGCCCGCGGGTCTCCTAAGGTCTCGGCTCGATCCGCCCGCCCCGCTGCCACCCGTTCCCGATTTGCCCCCGGACGCCCGCTCCTCCCTTCGCCAGGCCGCCCAACCCACCTCGGCGGCCGACTTTTGCTTTTCCAACTGCCGAGGAATTCAGTTGAGGCCGGCGGGTTCCGTCACCGCGTTCTCCCCGCGGGGGAGGAGGAGGAGGAGGAGGGCGCGCAAAACCGCTTGCAAAGATTGCGCCAAGGCAGACGCGCCCGGGAGGCGTTTGCACGGGCACGGCGCTCAGATGCACGGTTGCACGAACTGTCTCCGGGCTGGCGGCACACCTTTGCTCGGACGGCGAGGCGAGGCGCGTGGGCGGTTTGCAAACAATATCTACGGTTTCTGCAGCGGCAACCCTGTCCCCTCTTCTCCAGAAAAGAGGATGGCGGTTGCATTGAAAAGACTCTTTATTTCTGTTTTTACGGAGGGGTTGGTTTTTTTCACTCTCCTCTCCTCCATTGTGCATGGGGGACTTCTACCACTGA